GTGTGTGTGTGTGTGTGTGTGTGTGTGTGTGTGTGTGTGTGTGTGTGTGTGTTGTTTGTGTGTGTGTGTGTGTGTATTTGCATGTAATCGTGACCACTATCAGAACACCCACGCGCTACAGTAAAACGTTGGAAAGCACTTGTGATTTCCTTTTCCTTCCGAGAAAAATAAACGCAGTAATTAGCACGTCGCTGTTTATGAGTTAGTTTAGTAACGTACGTGTAACCGCCCACACTAGCAGAAATCACAGCCAAATGCTGAACACTAGACATATACATGTATATATAATTATATATATATATATATATAACTCTAGACCTAGCCCTAACCCTATAATACCCATAACCATTACACTAACCATGACCCTTACTCTAACTCTAACCCTAACCCCAACCTTAACCCTAGTCCTAGTGCTAACCCTAACCACAACCCGAACACTAACTACAACCATGCCTCTAACAATTACCCTAACCATAACCCGAACACTAACTACAACCATCCCTCTAACCATTACCCTAACCCTAACCATAACTCTAATCTTAGCACAAAAGCTAAGGCCGTTTTAATGATAAAATGATAATAAATATAAACACATTAATTGTATTTATTGCCAAAGTCTATGTTTTTCTCTATCGACTAATAATTCCACGTAAATGCCTTTCAAATACTTCTCTCCACACAATCCTATACACGATCCGACCACACGTACGCCACTGTGCACACACTAACAAAAGATAGCGAGTGACACTGTAGTGTAGGTAAGCCCTATACTTTCAGAGTTTGTGCACAGTGGCCTGCGTGCGGCTAGATAGTGTGTTGGTTGCTGAGAGGTATTTGAAATGCATCTGCGTGGAATCCGTGCGTCGAATTGAGTGATAGAGCGTATATACGTGGTAGATAAACACGAGAAGCTTCGATAGTAAAGAGAATTTGTGTTTGCTTACTATATCGTTTCATTATTATTGAAATGACGCGCGAGTGTCTGTAACGGCTCCGACTGCCGGCAACGCAACGGACCGTCACGATACACGACACACGTAAAAATACGCCAGCGGCGATACACACACACGCGCACGCACGCGCACGCACGCGCACGCACACACACACACACACACACACACACACAAACACTCAAACACTCGTACACACGCACACATCGTAGACATTACACCTACCTACCTGTCGTG